AAACGGAATGACAAAGTATCGGCCTGTGTTACTGATGACCATCAATTATCGATACTTCGCCGTTTGCAGCAATTGAGCTTCTGCAACTCAACAACGTGGAAAATTTTGGGAAAGGAGTTATGTGTGAAGCCTTTTTAAATACATCTGGCACAAGAAATAAAGCCGAACGACCTATCGCACCGCAGAATTTTCGGTGAATGGGCTCTTGGAAAGTAGACCGAAGATCTTCTCTTTGATGGGAAAATTGTATTCAACGAGGTAGGTCATTGGTTTGGTGATTGGAGAAGAATTGTCGATTTTGCAGTGAAAATCTGCCAGAAGCATTGCAAAAGCTACTAATGCATCCAGAAAAATTCGAAGTTTGGTGCGTTTTACGTTCTGGTGGCATCATTGTGACGTACTTCGTTAGATATGCTGCAAATCGTAATGTAATTGTGAATGGTATTCAATATTTGCCCCAAAATTCAACAGACTTGCATGCCATGTGGACTAAACCATTTTTTGTGCGGCTATATTAATGATCATGTCTATACAGACGAGCCCATTTTGACGCCTTGGGAGCATTTATTTGTAAGTCACTGGCCGAAATGTTGGAAAGAGTGTGCAAAAATTGGATAACGCGTATGGACGACTTTAGGCGCAGTCGCGGTCAACATTTGCATGAAACAATCTTCAAACATAAAACTATTTTAAAACAACGTTTGTTTATGAGTGGAGAACGATGGTAATGTTTACCAGGGGGTAAGGCAGGGAATACCTAGGTTTCGGAAAGAGCCACCAATCCTCATCAGTTCCCTTGTTTCTTGTCTGGGATATTCTCCCCAGAAGTTATTTAAAAAAATAACTTCTATGACAAAAAACATTTTTTACCCAAGTGACGAGATCGTAAGCTCAATAGAAGAGGAACAAAAGAATTACATAAAACTAAAATTCTTTTGGAAAATCTTCTAAATCTTACAACCGCACTTATAAACATTTACATCTTTCTCCACTTTGTTATGCTTTCGTTCAACCTGAACGAAGTAACATAACCATGTAAGTTTGTTTTGTCTGTTACAACAAAAACCCCTTCGTCGACCGTGCCTGTGTCTATTAATAGAACAGAGTTTGGCTTGCTTGTTTGGGATACCATAGTATTTTGTTGTTGCAAAATCGTCAGGCGAAATCCCATTATTGTTGTTTTTATAAAAACAACGTTTGTTTATGAGTGGAGAACGATGGTAATGTTTACCAGGGGGTAAGGCAGGGAATACCTAGGTTTCGGAAAGAGCCACCAATCCTCATCAGTTCCCTTGTTTCTTGTCTGGGATATTCTCCCCAGAAGTTATTTAAAAAAATAACTTCTATGACAAAAAACATTTTTTACCCAAGTGACGAGATCGTAAGCTCAATAGAAGAGGAACAAAAGAATTACATAAAACTAAAATTCTTTTGGAAAATCTTCTAAATCTTACAACCGCACTTATAAACATTTACATCTTTCTCCACTTTGTTATGCTTTCGTTCAACCTGAACGAAGTAACATAACCATGTAAGTTTGTTTTGTCTGTTACAACAAAAACCCCTTCGTCGACCGTGCCTGTGTCTATTAATAGAACAGAGTTTGGCTTGCTTGTTTGGGATACCATAGTATTTTGTTGTTGCAAAATCGTCAGGCGAAATCCCATTATTGTTGTTTTTATAAAAACAACAAACAAACCTAGGTATTCCCTGCCTTACCCCCTGGTAAACATTACCATCGTTCTCCACTCATAAACAAACGTTGTTTTTATAAAAACAACAATAATGGGATTTCGCCTGACGATTTTGCAACAACAAAATACTATGGTATCCCAAACAAGCAAGCCAAACTCTGTTCTATTAATAGACACAGGCACGGTCGACGAAGGGGTTTTTGTTGTAACAGACAAAACAAACTTACATGGTTATGTTACTTCGTTCAGGTTGAACGAAAGCATAACAAAGTGGAGAAAGATGTAAATGTTTATAAGTGCGGTTGTAAGATTTAGAAGATTTTCCAAAAGAATTTTAGTTTTATGTAATTCTTTTGTTCCTCTTCTATTGAGCTTACGATCTCGTCACTTGGGTAAAAAATGTTTTTTGTCATAGAAGTTATTTTTTTAAATAACTTCTGGGGAGAATATCCCAGACAAGAAACAAGGGAACTGATGAGGATTGGTGGCTCTTTCCGAAACCTAGGTATTCCCTGCCTTACCCCCTGGTAAACATTACCATCGTTCTCCACTCATAAACAAACGTTGTTTTTATAAAAACAACAATAATGGGATTTCGCCTGACGATTTTGCAACAACAAAATACTATGGTATCCCAAACAAGCAAGCCAAACTCTGTTCTATTAATAGACACAGGCACGGTCGACGAAGGGGTTTTTGTTGTAACAGACAAAACAAACTTACATGGTTATGTTACTTCGTTCAGGTTGAACGAAAGCATAACAAAGTGGAGAAAGATGTAAATGTTTATAAGTGCGGTTGTAAGATTTAGAAGATTTTCCAAAAGAATTTTAGTTTTATGTAATTCTTTTGTTCCTCTTCTATTGAGCTTACGATCTCGTCACTTGGGTAAAAAAAAAATGTTTTTTGTCATAGAAGTTATTTTTTTTAAATAACTTCTGGGGAGAATATCCCAGACAAGAAACAAGGGAACTGATGAGGATTGGTGGCTCTTTCCGAAACCTAGGTATTCCCTGCCTTACCCCCTGGTAAACATTACCATCGTTCTCCACTCATAAACAAACGTTGTTTTTATAAAAACAACAATAATGGGATTTCGCCTGACGATTTTGCAACAACAAAATACTATGGTATCCCAAACAAGCAAGCCAAACTCTGTACTATTTTAAAATAATGAAAATGTCATGATTTTTTCTGAATTGTATGCGTTTTTAACTTTCCGATAGCTCTGAAAAAATCAACATTTTTAAATTTAGCCTGTAAAGTTTGAAAAAAGTAGAAATCACCTCAGGTTACCAAAAGGAATGCTAGCTAATAACTACAAAATAATCCAAAAACAAGTTAAAACCCCCTCATAAGCAATTATCTACGCAAATATCTTACATAATCATCCCAATAAGGACAATTGCTTAATATCAATACAATTTTGTATGTGAATATTGAGTTTTGTAAGAAATATTGGCTGGGGGCTGGTCATGTTTATAAATAGACGCAATATGAAAATATCCCAAAGTAATTTACGACACTTCAGACTCTGATTCAGAAAACCCCACGATTTGCTTGACCAAGAGCCACCAGTTATAGTACGTCGTATAAAAGAACAACAAAAGGTTATGGAAGCCAGTATATTTTAAATATCTTCCCAATTGTCCCACTTTATCAACCAAATCAATACAAAAATCTGCCAGAGTCAGTTCTCTTGTTAAAATGATTGCCTAAAGATTGAGTAGAAACTTTTGGTAATTTTATGGATAACAAAATGGTCGCATAATCAATGTAAGGTGGGCGCATAGCGGCTACTGCTAAATAAATAAATGAACATTTTCGGGTAATTTACCGCATCATGTAGTTCTATTAAGTATAAATTCAAATAAATTCCAAAAGATGTTATCGTCATTTCATTTAAAATATTTTTAAAACAATGAAAATCGGCCATTTAATTTTCTTGCTAAAGCCTGTTAACGCCATTTTACTCACACATCAACAACGACGTTAATCAAATTGTTGTTGTGTTACTCAAGCGCCATCTATCGCCATCAGCCGTTTTGCCACCAGCAGAAAGAAAGAGAAATGTCACTTTGACATTCAATTTTGATTGCTCAGTAAACAGCGATATGGAGCAACAATAAATTCTGTGGGAAATGGCATTCTACAGAATCAATTGTTAGGATAAAATTTTGGAGATTTTAACAATAATTTTTCAATGAAATTAGATCGATTAAATGCTTAGTTTATAGTTGGCAACATTACACCATTTCAGTATGGCCAATGTATTACCTAACACATTTGCTGATTTGTTAATTCATGGACGGAAATTGTGTCCAAATTTTCATTCATGGTGGCAAAACTAAAGGAATCCTCCGACCCTACATGAATTTCGCGTAGCCTTTTTATGATTTTCTTAAAATGCCTTTAAAAGAACAAAGGAAAATTTCAAGATTGGTATTGTTGAGTTAACCCAGCGGAGGTGGAAGATATTCTGGGGAAACAAAAGTTCTAGATGAATTATCCTTGGAAACTCCAAATTTAATTACAATTTCTACCAGAAATAAGATGTCAAACTCCCACTTTTTGTTAATTATGTTATTTCCTCCTAATAATTGATGCATACGTCACGTACTTTAGTCACAACATCTTTTGATATTATGTTTGTGTGTATGTATGTATATACATATCAAAGTGAATATTTATGTACATGGGGTTTATCAATTTATTAATTAAATGGATCGAATATTAACCAATTTTAAAGATACTTTATGGAAATATTTTTACATTTACGTGAAATTAATATTACACACCCTACATTCCAAACTTGAAATGAAACTAAAACGAATTACAATTAACAACAAAAACACGTTGTACATGTGACGTCTTTGGTGTTCTGTAAACCTTTGAACGTTACTTCAATAGGCAAAACATTTACATGCTTCCAAAAACAAAACTCATGATCGTCGCAGTCAGTTTCCTCTTAATTTACAGATTTTCCCAAGGATTTTCATTAAAAACACTATTTGGTACAAATAACAGTGAAAGTTCTGAACATATTTCGTTTAGGTGAGCCATCCAACTCAAAAACTAAACCAAAGCATTATGATAGAGTAGCACATTACCTCAATCAAAAAAGAAAGAAAAAACGTGTGCAAATCCAAAAACCTTAAAATTTTTGGCATTAATGTCGATTGGATATAATCAATCACTAATTGTAATAGCACTTGAAAAGTCAAGAAATATTTCAAAACGGCTTATCCTTTTGAGTCCTTTGCAGGTCCATTGTAAAAAATAAGTAATAATTGGGGCAATACTTACTGCATCGGGTTGCTGTTGAAACACATCCAAGACCATCTGAATAAGGCCAGCACAATGATGATGAAACACAAAAAACAGAAAAGTAAAACAAAAGACGAATTAGTTTTTTAATAAATCAATAATCGAACTCATTTCACGACGAGAAAAAAGTAATTACAAAATAAATGACAAAGAAAAATATTTTAAACAATGGCCATCCCATCCATCCAACCAACCTGTGCGTATATGGCTGACTGGCTGGCCACTACTAATAAATTTACACATCCAAACATACTAAGTACTTTTGCCATTTTGTTACAATTTTTTCCCCGCAACACACTCTTACTCACCTGATGAACCTTGATGTGAGCCTTCAGTGCTCGTTGGCAATAGATTATATCATTTTTAATATCTTTGGGAATTTTGAAAAAACTCTCCATATAGAATTGGAATAAACGGGAACCAGTTAAATCCCGTGAAGCGGCAGCCAAAACAATGTCACTATCGCCGCCAGTGCCACCGCCGCCACTGGAATTAACCACAAATGGAACTGCTGCTGACATGCTTGCTAATTTTTGTATAGCTGACAAACGACGACTCTGTATTTCTCTTCTTAAGCTTGCTGCTTGTGTTATCTGCTTTATATATTTTAAAAATAAATATCTTCGTCGTTTCTGTGTGTCTTATATCTTGTCTTTAAGCAATCACTTGGCACTCGATTTACTATTCATTAGCTGAATTATGTTACCGTTTTCTAATCGCACTCTACAGATAACTGCAAGGATAATATTTCAAATTCAAAAATGTTACATATTTACTCCTCTTTGAAATTTAAAAAACGTTGTTGATTGCTCCACAAAATCCAATCGAATGGAGTCAACAAGCAAAAAAGCAAAATGTTCTGCTGCTGGTTTTTTCAAACGTACATTCCCCAAATCTCTCTGTCTCGTGTTATACTCCCTCTCTTCTGTCGTTTGTGTCTCTCAACCAACAAACCATTCATTCATTGACTTTTGACAGTTCGAGCGCGCCTTTGTTGCTGGACGAAATAACTTGAAAATTGTCTTTATTCATATCACAGGAATTGCATCTTCTTTTTATTTAAAAAGTATTAAATTGTTAATAAAACACTACATTACAATCACACAACTTTACTTGTTAAAATGTTTTACTTTGCCAACAGATACAAAAAGCACTTGCATTGATGATTTTAAATTTGCGTCTGCTTCTTTTTTCGGTTTGTAACGTCGTCGTTGATTTGTTTGCCAATGACAGCTGATGGCTGGTGCTCACACACATCGATGCCAAGTGAATATCTGTGCGGGCCTTGAGTTGGATGTTTATTTTTTCTCTTAATTTACAAACAATTCCAAAAATTAAATTTATAATTGATGAATTAATTATTTTTTATTTAATAACTTCACTCCAACACTTTATATTCCTAAATAATCACCACAAAGCATTTCAGTTTCTTTTGAGGGTATAGGGATATATAGATCGATTTTCTATTAATCGATTCGCTAGTAATGAAATTCTTAATAATCGATTTCAGTCAAAATATGAATAGTCAATATATGCATTTATTAAATAAAGATATAATTAAAAAAATAAAGATATAAAAACGAAATTAAAAAAATTTAACGTCAACTTTTCAAGTTTCCTAAGATGAATGAAAAAAATATTTTCAAAGCCAATGATTGGAAGACACGTACATTGCGGCTCGCTCATTAAAGCTATTCGCCAGTTTTGTCATGTTATTGAATGATCGAACTATTTTGATCATATTTTTGAAAGAAAATCCAGGCATTTAATTCATTTTTCACGCTGTGTAACTGATCTTAAAAAATGGAAAATATTGAATAAATGAAAACAACTTGTTTGCATGCAAATTTGACAGGAAGCGGTCGTGGCCTCAGGGGTGTATTTCTGTAGTTTTACGAAGCTGTTCTACCTCCTTATTGTACCATGCGCTGAACAAAAAAGTCAATTGTTGTGTTCCAGAACTACAAGAATTTTGCAATTTTTACTACGATAGCCGGTTTTCCTTAATTATATCGAAAAATATTGCAAAACTAGTAGATTCTTGCATTATTCAAAATTATATGCAACAAGTTGTTTTCATTCATTTGATATTTTCCCTAATTCTTAAAACGAATTAAATAGCGAGAAAATAGATGAAATGCCTCGATTTTCTTTCAAAAATATAATCGAAACAGTTCAATCTTCTAATTCGCAATGCAATGTACGTTTCTTCCAATCTTTGGTTTTTAAAATATTTTGTTTTTATTTTTCAACACAATAAATACCTACACAAAAAAACTTTATTCCAGAACCTGCAGGTATCTACTTTTTTTGCCTTTTTTTCGATATCATAAAGGGAAAATCGTTTATCGTAGTAAACACATCCTTGCAGTTCTGGAACAGACCAGAGCATGGCAGAAGAATACAGGATAATATAAGTAGATTTTTATATGTTTTCTTATACTACGTCATTCGGAGGCTATTATAATTCGCGTTTTTCAAAATTTTTTACAAATTTAAAAAATTTTTCATTCAACATTTTCAATTCCAAAATTGGTTTGACAGTTCATTGGCCCCAGGAGCTGTGTCGACGCGTCTACCTATATTCTTCTACCATGGACCAGAGCATATACTACTAGTTTGAAACTTGCTGTTAACTTCATTGTTCTACCATGAAGAAGCCAGCCAATGACTTAAGCCGGTCAAAAAAAGCCTTTTATGTATTCTCACCTTTAGTCTCACATGCATTTCGGGCTGATATGCAAATTGCTTTCTGACTCTACAACTTTTTTTTCAATAAAAAGGTAAAGTCATGTAATCATATGTTCACAATTTTTTTCAAATTTTTACATTTGACAACATCTAATTGTCAAAATCTACATTCAAAAATCCATTGTATACACACACAAAATCGGAGATGGGAACTGTTTTTTATGCATTGAAATTTGACAACGTAAATTACAGAAAATGCATGGCTGGGAATGTTAATTTGAAATGAGGTTCTCTTATTTCATTGTACCATGGGTAGCTGTTATTTGACTCATTTTAGAAATTAACAAAAATATCAAATAAATTAAAACAACTCGTTGCATATAATTTTGAAGAATTCTGACAGGAAGCGGGCATAGCCTCAGAGCTGTATTTTTGCAGTTTTACGAAGCTGTTCTGCCTCCTTATTGTACCATGGGTAGAATCAAGAAGTTAAAGTCATGCAAACATATGCTTACAACTTTTTTCAAAATTATTCGTTTGACAACATCGCATTGTCAAAATATATATTTATAAATTCATACTAAATGCACAAATCAGAGATGGAAACCTATTTTTTATGCAGTGAAATTTGACAAGGAAAATTACAGAAAATGCAGAGATAAGTATGCTTATATCTTCTTAATTTTACCATGGTTACACCGTTGACAAAATTTCATTGTCAAAATGTATATCCAAAAATTCATTGTATTTCCACAAATTAAAAAAATTAAATTTGACAAAGTAAAATACAGAAAATACTAAGTTTGATGTTATGGTGGAATTAAAAAGCTAAAGTTATGCAATCCTATGTTTAATTTTTTTCTAAATTATTCATTTGACAATAATTTTTATATTTACTAATCCATTGTATATAAAGAAATCAGAGATGGGAACCTGTTTTTATGCAGTGAAATATGACAAGTCAAATTACAGAAAATACAGAGATTTTTTTTTTAAATTTTGTTTGTTGATTTTAATGGGAATTTATACGAAAATACATGAAATTCTCACTAAAATAAATAGAAGAAATTATTTTTTTCTCCAAATGATTTATCATATCATTAATTTTACAATTTACATTCATGTTTTCCACTTTTTAAGTAAATGTTGACAATTTGAACATATTTTTTTATATTTTTCTATTTTTAAATTCTGCTGGAGAGACGCCATTCAACATTGTAGTTTTTATTCATAACTTTCAGTCCTCCCTATTTTTTTTTAAATTCCATTAAATTTTTCTATTTTGAATTTTTAAATTCATAATTTATTTTTTTGATAAATGCTCTCATTTATTAGGGATGACACACATTTCATCATAGTTTTGAGAGTGATTTGAATGGAACAAAGAACAAAAACCATTGTTCGCTCAGCAAGTTTTGTGTGGAGAATTAAGTAGATATTTCTTTATTAATAGTCGAACAAGGAATAGAGATCGAATCACGTGCTATGTGAACTTAGCATAAGTTACATAAAATGCAGAAATGGATATGTTTATTTGAAATGAATTTACTTTCTTCATTCTACCATGATGGTTATTATTTGAGATGAGCTTACCTTTAATTAATTGTTATTTCTTTGGATTGACATGACAACTTTAGGTGTGTTTGGGTGTGTATTCTTTTCAATCCTTTGAGAAGTGCAATTATTTCAAGGTAGTCTCATTTCAATAAGCAATAAACATATCCAACTCTCTATTTTTCTGTAATTTACCCTTCAAATTAAGCTGGTTTGGCAAGGTCCATCTTTGATTTGTGTATATACAGTGGGTTTATAAATACACATTTCGTCAATGGAATAATTTTGAAGAAATTATAAACATGTGATCATTATTAATTCTACCATGGAAAAGTGTTTACAAATGTTCTATTCCAGAAATGCAAGAGTATAAAAGTTTTTACTACGATAACCGCTTTAACGTTTATGATATTGAAGAAAATAGGAAAACTAGTAGATTTTTGAAGGTACTGGAACTGAAAAAAAAAATATTTAAATTAAGTTCTAAAAAACAAATAAATCAAGGTAATCTCATTTCAAAAAATAACATCCTGCTCTGCAGTTTTCTCTAATTTATATGTCAAATTTAAAGTCATTGAATAGAAATTCCCATCTCTCCATTGTGTATACACAATGGATTTATAAATAAACTTTTAGACAATGAGGTGTTGTCAAAATTTTACCATGGTTGTGACAAAGATTATGTATGGCTCATTTAAAATTTTTATATGACTTAAACGTAAAACAGAATTGATAGAATTCCGACTGGATTTTTTCTTAAAAGAACAAAGTATTTCAGGTAGACCTAGTATATTTTTGACAGAAAGTCAAACACATTGTTTCGTAGTCGTTTTCCCATTGTTGCTGTTTTTGTCACCAGAAAACAAAATCAAACATCTGAAGAAAACAAAACAAAATCAAACATCTGTTGAAGGCTTTTTTCGTTCAGTAATTAATATCCGTTATAACTGCATGAAATAAATGGGCATCACTATTTTATATGAAGTGGCAACACTGATATACAAAAAGTGCTGCCATTCGCAAGTGACACTGACAGCTGTTTAATTTTTTTACTAGCCGCACTGACATTTCGCATTTTGGAGAACCGTAGCAGCCGAGGTTTTTCACGTAAATTCCAAAGGACATTTGACTGGAAATACAAATAAATAAATAGGTAATGACCGGTGTACAGTCTTAATTGCTTCATCTCCGTTCAAAATATGTATATTTTCAATAAAATTCCACTTTACAATCGTTGATTATGTTTGTTGTTTGGTGGTCATAACCTACAAAGTTACATAATGGACAAAATTTCAAGAATTTCGGGAGTGTTTCTTGGAGGACTAAATTCTATTTGTGTATAAGGATATGCGTTTTAATCGAAAAATCTTTTCATATTGCAGAACAATATGTCTTTCGTCAAGAACGCTCGTATGTTGGCCGTCCGCGGTTCCCGCATGATCCAAAGCCGTGGATATGCCGATGAAATGAAACTTACTTTTGCTGCTGCCAACAAAACCTTCTACGATAATGCTGAAGTGCGTCAAGTCGATGTGCCCTCCTTCAGTGGAAGCTTTGGTATCTTGGCCAAGCACGTCCCAACCTTGGGTAAGTTTGACAAAACAATGATGATGTGAATATTTATAATTTCTCTTGTGGGACGATGCGTTTTTATGTAATAAACATAGATTGAAGTTTTGAAAAGATACAACATTTCATCGAATTAATTTAGTGACATAAAATTGATATGAATTTTTTTTCGGAATTTAAGTTGCAATTTTCTCGGAGACTTAAGAACGGCACTGTTCCACAACAATGAAGTTGGATGGTTTATTGGCATTGGCTTCAAATAATTTTGGCAGTATCAGAGCTTTAACTAAATATTTTTGGAATATATCAAGGAAATGCAAATAATGTATAATGCCCTTACCTAAAATCTGACAAACAGCAAACACAGTACTCACCTTCCCATTATTGAAAAATGTTCTGTAAAACGACATTAAACAACAAACGGTATTTAAGCCAGACAAATGAAGGAAATTCGAATTTTTCAAAATAATTAAACTGATTGCAAATTTACTTAGTGAATATCAAGTCTATTATGAACTGACAATGGCTTGGAATATTATATTAAAACAACAACAATACATATATTCGAAAAACAAAAAAAAAAAAAAAACATTGAGAAATGATATCAATACGTTGTCTCTGCTAAAAAGGAAGAACAACTTCTTGAGCAGGAGTATTATGCACTGCGCAATCTTATCGTATTTTTCTACTTTTTTATAAAAACAATATTTTTAATTTATTTCTACATTATATTTACAAAAAAACGGATTTACCATGTAATTTTCTCATCTAATTCTAGCTGTCTTGAAGCCTGGTGTTGTTCAAGTCTACGAAAATGACGGCAAAACCTCCAAATACTTCGTTTCCAGTGGTACCATTTCCGTAAACGAAGACTCTTCTGTCCAAGTTTTGGCTGAAGAAGCTCACAGCGTCACCGACATCGATGTCAATGAGGCTCGTCAATTGTTGAGCCAATACCAATCTGCTCTTTCCTCTGCTTCATCTGATGAGGTATGTTTTCGTTAATCGGTCTTGTATAAAAATAGTATTTACATTTATTTTCCCTTTCAGGCTAAGGCTGAAGCTGCCATTGCCGTTGAATGCTGTGAAGCCCTCATCAAAGCTGCCGAATAAATTTAATAAATTTTCAGTGTATTTAGATTAAAATCGCTCATTGGAGCAAAAAAACAAGAAACAAGAAAAGTATCATCATCTTTCTTTAAATTCCGTTGTAATTTAAAATAACAAATTATTTAAGTAAAGAAAAAGATTTGTGGTTTTCAAAAAACCCTGATTGTCGAGAACAACAACAAAAAATGGGAAATGGTATTTATTTGTTAATTAGATCGGGATTTGAATACTCAATTATATTTTAATGTGAATACATGATTTTAGAGCGGGAGATTTTGACTTGATGTTCAAGAAAATACAGATTTGGTTTTAGAGCGGCAGATTTTGACTTGATGTGCAAGTAAATACAGATTTCGTTAATTTAAATTTTGAGCAAAATAATGATTTAAAGAAATAATGTTTCAGACAAAAACCAAAATTCTTCAATAATTTAGTTGTGAATGAGAAGAGAGGTTAAAAGTCGGGCAGGACCGACTTTTTGATACGCTTCACCAATCCTATTAGAGCTACCCGTAAAAAGTAGCCGTTAATATTTGGAATTTAAGTGTAGTAGATCACAACAACCATGAACCTTTTTTGAATACGTATTATGGTTTTGTACTTACACATTTATAATTTTATACTTTATACAATGTGAAATTGAATGAAAATAATATATAGGAGGTGTATTCTTGTTGGAATCGATTTCCACTATATTTGAAGGAGGCACTTGTGTCATCCGATTTTCGCCAAAATCCATCCAACTTCCAGCTGATTTAACACTATTATATATGGGATCTATATCTAAATTTGAATCTATGCTGTATCTGATAGCTGGATCCAATACCTTTGGTGGAGTACATTTTACCAGTGTGAGGGACCGTCATCCTTGGGATGCTTGGAGGGACAATTGTCCTTGGTTTCAATAAATGCACTTTGCAAAGTTTCAAATCAATCGGACAATGAATGTTCAATTCTTGTCCTTGAAATTGTGAATTGAAAACTATAAAAACTATGAAAAAATTTGAAAAAGTGAAAATGAAATAGAGATATAGAGGAATAATGTTATATATCATATTTTTTTAGAACAAGACCCCAGTGTCTGTATTTATACCCTATACCATATAGTGGTAAAGGTATTATGTATTTGTGCATTTGTTTGTAACATGGAGAAGGAAGCGAGATAGACCCATAGTTACTTTTGAGGATCTTCATAGAATCACTTTCTGAGTCGATTTAAGAATGTCAGTCCGTCAATCTGTCCATGTATTCTTGTGAACAAAATGCAGGTCGCATTTATTATCCGATTGAGATGACATTTTCCAAACAATATTTATTTGGCCCAAGGACGAACCCTATTGAAATTGATGAGAATCGAATCAGATTTAGATATAGCTCCCACATATCTTCAACCGATTTCGGATTAATTGTGCGTCAAAATTTGGTACATCCCACCGAATTCAGCCTAGAAACAAGTACATCAAATTTGCAGAAAATTGGTTCAGATATAGCTATAGCTCTCATCTATATGTGTCATCCGATTCGGTTTTAAGTCCTTCACATGCGTAATATGAACTCCGCAAGAATGAAATTTGGTACCGGATATTTTATAGAGCTCGGAAATACCTTTGCTAAATTTGATTAAATCGGTTTAGATTTGGATATAGCTCCCATATATATCTTCAATCGATTAACTGTGCACTAAATGACCAATTTCAGTCCAAAAGTTCTAAATTGGTATGGTACACCTGACCGAATTCAGTCTAGAAGCAAGTTCCAGTCATCTTATAGAGCTCAGAAATGTCTTTGACAAATTTTATCGGCTAAAATTTGAATATAGCTCCCATATATATCCTTAATCCGATCTCAGGCTTATTGTGCAAATAATGGATAACATCAGCCCAAATGGAGTGAATTTCGGAACGTACGTTTCCATTTTGTGGAACTCGGCTCCTATGTATATTTATATAAAATATTTATATTTTTATATAATCCTTCTTAAAGTGAAATCATGCACTCTATAGCAATGTTATTTGGCAAAAAAGATTATAATGTGTCCGTCAAATTTAGTGAAAATCGATTCAGAATTGGATATGCCTCCCATATATTAGTTCCCTCTGAAACCAAACTATAATTGCCCTATACGCAAATGTTGATAGGTGGTATGATCTACTTCAAACAAATTATTTTGTTACGGGAACTCTACCATATATGCATAGTGATGTAAGGTATCACATAGTCGGCCCGTCCGACTTTTGACTTTACCTTACTGTTTTTGTTTACAAAAATATATGGACAGAACGACCGACGAACGGACATGCATAAATTGACTCAGAATGTGATTCTTTGAAGATTACCAAGAGGAACTATGGGACAATTTAGTTTCCTTTTGCCTGTTACAGCAAATGCATAAAGACATATTATACTGTACATATACATAGTGGCGTAGGGTGTAAAAAAATTAAACCCTGGTTAAAAGGCATTTTGTCACGTCCATTGTATTCTGCCTAAAAGTATACTAGGCTATTCTAATATTTATATTAATATGTTCTGCTTTAATAGCCGATCTATCCTTTTTAACCAACAATTTTTAATAGACTATTGTGCTCAATTTCGATTGAAATTACTTCACTAAAATATATACGGACTTCTCCAAAAATTATAAACTCCAAAAAATTGTTATTTTATCTGAGCTAAAATAATGTTTCTTAATGGTTACTGGCCAAAATATCCATTATAAACCTTCGTATTACATTAAAACAAAGTTAGAGTACGTTTACAGTTTGCCAGATTTAAGTCCAGTGGAATGTTTGCAGCTGGAAAAGACTACATTTTGAAGAATATAAGTCTTAATGTTGATAACATGGTACAATTACCAAGGCAATCTTATACAATCACAATTTTTATACCCTCCACTATAGTATGGAGGGTATATTAAGTTTGTCATTCCGTTTGTAATGCCTGGAAATATAAATTTTTGACCCCACAAATTATATATCATCTGTCCATCTCTGGAAATTACTCTAGCTTCCGAACGAAATGAAGTAGATTGATAAAATTTTACTCAAATATATATTATGTCTGCAGGACTTTTGGTATTGAAAACAAAGACATAGAAGTATAAAGATGGGACAAGACAGAGTCACAAAATGGCAACCCTGTGAAAATACCTCTGTTGTTATGATATCGTAACAACATAGTTAGCAATGTTAAGCGATTTAAACCGCTTAGGCAATATACAATTAACTGGGAAAGTCTATGGAGTAGAATATTGAAACCCAATTTTTTGATTTTTCAAACTTTTGTTTGTCTTTTTGTTCTATAAATGGCTTTTTATACCCTCCACCATACTATGGAGGGTATATTAACTTTGTCATTCCGTTTGTAACTCCTCGAAATACTCATGTCAGACCCAACAAAGTATATATATTCTTGATCAGCGTAAAATTCTAAGTCGATTTAGCGATGTCCGTCCGTCTGTCTGTCTGTCTGTCTGTCCGTCTGTCTGTCTGTTGTAATCACGCTATCTTTCGAATGAATTGAGATAGATGGCTAAAATTTAGCACACATGTTTATTTTTCCAGTAGGCAGGTTAAGTTCGTAAATGGGCCATGTAGGTCCACGTTTTCATATAGCTACCATATAACGGTAACCCCCCTATATTAGGTATTTTGATGATTTTAGCGACGTTATTCACCGGAATTGTTTCAAATTTGGTATTTGAAGTTTCAAATGGATACTACACCCTAAGATAGAAAATTGTCTGTGCAAGTCAATGTCTTCGTATAGCCCCCATATAACGGTACTTCCCGATATTCGGTATTTTGATGATTTTAGCGACATTATTCACGGGAATTGTTTCAAATCTGGTATTTGAAGTTCCAAATGGATACTACACCCTAAGACAGAAAATTGTCTTTGCAGGTCCACGTCTTCGTATAGCCCCAATATAACGGTACCTCCCTATATTCGGTATTTTGATGATTTTAGCGACGTTATTCACCGGAATTGTTTCAAATTTGGTATTTGAAGTTCCAAATGGATACTACACCCTAAGACTGAAAATTTTCTGTGCAGGTCCACGTCTTCGTATAGCCCCCATATAACGGCACCTCGCTATGTTCGGTATTTTGATGATTTTAGCGACATTATTAACCGGAACTTTTTAAAATTTGGTATTTGAAGTTCGTTATGGGAACTACAATCTGTGACAGAAAATTGTCGGTGCGGGTCCAGTTTCGAATTTGAATATGGTAATGGCTTATGACAAACAATGCATATGTATGTCCACGTCATATAGACCCCAATATAACGGCTATATTCGGTATTTTTAAAATTTTAACAGAATTTTTTAAGGATTTTATTTTTTGAAAATTTCCAAATTCGTTGCAAATGGTGGAGGGTATTAAAAGTTCGGCCCGGCCGAACTTACTGCTTTTTAACTTGTTTATATTAGCATGGTCCTGTCATGAGCTGTTATCTAGATAGTATAGACACAAACCATTTGATCAAAATGCATTTTGTCTAGTCTTTACCATTTTAGGTCTTTGTTGAAAATCGGCCATGTAGGACCACGTTTTGGTATAGCCTCCAAATAACGGTACCTCTCGATATTAGCGACAATATTTACCGGAATTGTTTCAAATTTGGCATTTGAAGTTCGAAGTAGATACTACAACCTATGACAGAAAATTGTTCACGCAGGTCCACGTCTTCATATAACCGCCATATAACGGTTCCTCCCGATATTCGGTACTTTGTTGATTTTAGCGACATTATTCACCGGAATTGTTTCAAATACCAGGTCCACGTCTTCGTATGGACCCCAATATAACGGCTACATTCGTTATTTGGAAATTTTAACAGAATTTTAAACAGATTTTTTTTGAAAATTCGCAAATTCTTTGCAATTGGTGGAGGGTATTCAATGTTCGGCCTTAGTGCTTTTTTTACTTCTTACTGGTTATGAAGCTACTCTAAAACAAATAAAAAAAATAAGTTCGGCCAGGCCGAATTTTTAATGCCCTCCACCTTATCACCAAAAATCATCAACATAACGAATATCGGGAGGTATATACAATACAAAAACTTGAACCTATACATACAATATTTCGCCAACGGGGCTAGAACCCATTAGGACACACAAATATCAATTTTTAGACAAATCCACGAAGACATGTGGTAAAAATCATAATATACCGAACATCGGGAGGTACCGCTATATGGGGGCTATACCAAAACGTAGGCCTATACATGCAATGTTTCGCCACCGCAGCAAGAACCCATTATGACCAACAAATACCAATTTTTAGACAAATCTGCGAAGAAATGTGGCAAAAATCATCAAAATACCGAATATCGGTAGGTACCGTTATATGGGGACTATACCAAAGCGTGGACCGATATATCTCATTTTCAATACCAACCATCCTAGACACAATACAAATTGTTCTGCTAAATTTTGACGCTCGACGGACAAACGGAAATCGACTTAGAATTTTATGCTGATTATGAATATATATACGTTATGGGGTCTACGACGAATATTTAGGGATGTTACAAACGGAATGACAAATTTAATATACTCTCCTTTCCAAGGTGGAGGGTATAAAAATCAGATCAATCAGTTGTATGGAAACTTTTTTGTCACACCTTCCCATACATGTTGGACAGTGGATGCCGTGGATGCTTGTGAACACGAAGCAAGAAAATATATTTAAATATTTAAGAGAATTTGTTTCCCTTGGCCATCAATGTATGGAACATCAATTGTTGTTTCCGCCAACCTTTTTATTGTGTTTGTTTTAGTACAGGTGTATTGTTTAACTCACAATGTTTGTAGGCGGCACTATTCGATTGAATCTTCGAATTTAATCGTTGCCTTCTTCTTTTTCTTTGTAATGCTAATGACTCTTCTGAAGCATTCCAGATTACAACACCACCATTAAGATGATGACTTATTAAAATGTTATGCTAATGATTGAAACTGGAATGTTAACTATGGATGCATAGTAAAGAGTAGCTTGAGTAGACGATCAAAAGAGATGACACGATATAGAGTTTCGGTGTTTTTTGATGGCATGTTTTTATAAGTAGGCCAAGGTCAATGTCAACGTTGGATTAAGTGTTGGGGTCATTTGAAATTTAAGAGAAAACCCGCAACCGAATTCGAGAAAATTTGATAAGTTTTAGCACTGAAATCCATTGAAGTGTTATTGGATAAGGAATATTTTTCGTTAGTAAAGCCACAAACTTTATGAGTATTTTTGAAAAAAAAAGGTCTAGGACCTCAATAATAATGTATGAACTAAAAAATAAATAATTTTTAATTAACAAAAAAAGGTAGTTTTTTGAAATCAAATTTGGGTTGGCTTTTCCTGTTTTTAGAGAACTTGGGAAATTCGTCATACACGATTTTCCGATATGCCCAACAAATGAGACAGTCTTTAGGCTCTGGACTTTCCTTATATTTAGATGACGATCAAATCCGTTAATAATAGTTTCACTTTTTGATTCAATTGATTTGCCTAGCCCAGGTATTGATTGAAATTTTAGGATAAATTGAGATTCTTAGAGGTTTCTAAACACGGATTTCGAGATTCCTCGCCGATATAAAAACTCAATTTTAATTTTGATATATATTTTTGTTGCTTTTATTGTTTAACGCTAACTATTACTAATAACATTAACTAAATCTAAAATGCATGTAACAGGGCAGCTACAAAATGAGGTTTTGTGTTGTAGTCCGCTTGTTATGTTCTATATGGCCTTTAAGTATTTCCTCATGGAGGAATTTTCTAGAAAGTTCCTAATATTGAGGTGGTCCATACGTTTGAGCTGGAACGTGTTGGGGAACAGGTTCTGGGGCAACAAATGAGGGCTGGGCAACTGGGGCATTGTATTGGGGAGCGGGAGCATGGAAATGGGGTGCGGGTTCATGTACAGGTGGCAAATATGATGTGGATGGGGAAACAACTGGGGCAGGGGCACTGTATTGAGGAGCTGGTGCAGGGGCACTGTAGTGAGGAGCTGGAGCAGGGACGCTGTAGTGTGGAGCTGGAGCAGGGGCACTGTAGTGTGGAGCTGGAGCAGGGGCACTGTAGTGTGGAGCTGGGGCAGGGGCACTGTATTGAGGAGCTGGAGCAGGGGCACTGTATTGAGGAGCTGGAGCAGGGGCACTGTACTGGGGAGCTGGAGCAGGGGCACTGTATTGAGGAGCTGGAGCATGGAAATGTTGAGCAGGTTCCTGTACAGGTGGCAAGTACGAAGAAGTTGGGCCAGCAGATTGAACTGGAGCACTATATTGGGCAGCTGAAGAACTGAATGCAGAGCTGGAAGATGCGGGTGCCAAATAGGATGGTTCAGGAAGAGATACATGAGCCTCTGCTTGTGGTGCCAAATATGAAGTGGATGGAGCAACAGCCGAGCTTGAAACATGCTCATGAATTACGCGAAGAACTTTGGTTTGTTCCTGATGACCGGCACCAGCTGAATGGCCAGCAGCATGACCACCAGCAGAGTGACCTTCAGATGAGTGGATTACTTTAATGGTCTTGACGGCAGCTTGAGATTGAGCTTGACCATGACCATGGCTATGGCCATGTCCATGGGAAGAAGCTTCCTGTTGATGTACAACTTTAATGACTTTTTCGGCCGAAGCATGAGATTCAACAGAAGGAGCATAATCATAACCACCGTCAGAATGAGATCCACCAGAAGATGAGGCGGCATGGCTATGTACAACTTTGATAACTTTTTGTACGGGAGCGGGTGCACTTACATGGCCACCTGAGCCGTGAGATGATTGCTGATGAATAACTTTGATTACTTGAGGAGCTGCAGCAGCGTGTCCATGGCCGTGACCATGATCGTGACCAGCAGATGATGATGCATGTTGATGAATTACTTTAATGACTTTTTGTGGAGCACTATGACCACCATGACCACCACCGGAGGAGGCCGAGTGTTCAGACACAACCTTTATTTTATACACCGGACCGGATCCACCATGGCTATGACCATGACCAGAATAACCAGAGCCACCGCCTCCTCCACCGCCACCCAAGAGACCATTCAACAAGCCAGCATTGGCCACGGCCATCAAGGCGAACAAACACACAAATACCTGCAATGAAATGGAATGAATAAAACGTTGATAAATTAAATCCATGTTGGTTGTCATGTAACTGTCATAATTTACATACCTTCATTATGTTAAACCAAAGCTTAAATGTTACGGGATGGCAAACTTTAGATGTGCGTGTGTTATCGAATGCTTGTCTCGAGCGTTTGTTGCCAAACACATGGAGTTCATGACATTATATACCAGATCCAATTTAGAGATCATCATGCAGCATCATTGTCACACAAAATTAAAAAGAGATGCTTCTTTTTTCTATTTCTCCCTGTTCCCACTGTTCACTAATGAAATGCCAAAGTTGCTCATCTCTCTCTTTCTCGCTCTCGCTCTATTGCCACTTGACATAAAATCATTGAGAAATCAAAACATGCAAGGAAAGTGTTGATGTTTCACTGAAGCATTTCTTTATTCGGGGGAATCCAACGATTTTTGAAAAAATCGGGCCAAAAACTAGTAACAAAAAAAAAAAAAAAAAACATTAAATAAACGATCATTAAAGAAATGAGTATCTATCTCCACATCATAGTTGACCAAGTGAAGTTTTTAATGGGTTTATAAATATGTTGTTGCTAAAAAAAATAAATAGACTTTAATTGCCAACATTATTGTTTAACACCAATTTCACATTATATTTGTATTTATGTTATGTTATCTTGTTCGGAAGCCAAATTTGGAAAAAAAAATTGGATTTGCATAAAATAATATTATTGAAGATAATGCAAAAAACTAAAAATAAACGACTGCCAATAAATGCAGTACATGTGCACCAAAATCTCTTCATAAAACGGGTTTAAAATTTTGATTTATAATAACTTAGCATTTTATAAGTTGTAATTCCATTGAGGATTTCATTTTTAATATATTTGGAGTTACTAACAATGATTTAAGGGACTCAAATAGAGGGAATTTTTCAGATTTTTCATAATTTTTCAAGAGTGGAGTGGCAGGATTAATATTTTTTGCTTTTCAATTTTTTTTTAGATCTAAATATTTTTATGATCAATGAGAAAAACTCTTTCTAGTTTTGTAGGTTTCAGAACATTTTTATGTGTCTATATACAGTAGCTCCAAAAGAAACTCGCACTGCTAAAGAAACATTTTTATTTTTCTTTTAACTTCCGAAACTCAAAATTTACAAAAAAAATATTTTATTGGTACACTAGTAAGTAATTTAAAAAGCAAAAAAAAAACTTAAAATTTTAATTCATTTAAAGCAAAAAAAATCTTATTTCAATGCCAAAGCGAAACTCGTACACTTCGTATAATTTAAAGTATTTCTGGGCATTAATATTTTGTATGCATTCCTTTACTTTTTTACCATTTGTAGCCTACTATTTGGCATACTTTTAAAAGTTTTTCGCAAAAGTTAGGTTCAATTTTTTGCCATTCGCCCAATAAAGCTTTCTTCAGATCTTCTTTGCGAGATATGGCGGATTTTTCTATAGCTCCAAAATTCTCTATAGGGTTTATGTCTGGATTCTGGGCTGGTGCATCTATGACATGGGGACAAATGTATGGTAGCCATTACCTCTCTTTATAAGCCTTGTGTTTCGGATCATTGTCTTGATAAATATAATAATCTTCTCTAAGGTCGAGCTTTTCCTTAAAGAGTGGCCAACTTTCTTTCAAAATGTTAAGGTACATAGTCTGATCCATAATGCCCTCAATAAAATGCAATATACCAGCTCCAGAAGCTGAAAATGAACCCCACACCATTACTGAAAATTTGTCATAAATTAGTTTTTAGGGACTTCCCCAAATACATTTTCCACCAATCTCGTGAAGTTGGATGCAGTTCGAAACAGGGTTGCCGTTTAAATGTGAGCTACGTATCAAAAGTTTAGCTTTTGTATAGAAATTTGGTGAGTTTTAGAATAAATGCCATTACTTTATTAAATAAATAAAAACGGTAATCTTTTGTTCTTCGGTTAGTTCTAGTATCCTAATAATACACTAATAAAAATATAAGTTTCTTCTGGTAGTGAATTTGATAACAATCATATATTGCATTCAAGAAAATTGTTTGCTAATTGTACGAGTTTCGCTTGGAGCTACTGTACATCTCTACCTAAATATCTATCAATTACCTATTTTATTCCTTACGCCACACTGTGGTACGACCCATAATTCCTTTTGATGATCTTCATAAAATCACATTCTGGATCGATTTAGGCATGTCTGTCCGTCTGCCCATGTATTTTTGTAAACAAAGTACAGGTTGCATTTATTGTCTGATTGAGATGACCAACCCTATTGAAATAGGTACTAATGGGATCGGATTTGGATATAGCTTCCATAAATAGTGTCGTCCGATTTCATAAGTATTGTGCACCAAATGTGTAATATACACACGGCCAGGTTCAGTCCAGAAGTACATATGTCTGGCAATTTTGATGAATATCGGATTTAGATATAGCACCCATAAATATTTTCGCCCGATTACAATTTTTTTTGTTGCAACATGATTAATATTCGTTAATTAGAATTGGTTTTTTCACATACGACCAAATTCAGTCTAGAAGCAAATACTTTCAAGTTCGTGGAAATCGGTTAAGATTTAGCTATATCATCCATATATATGTTTTATCCGATTTGATATTTAAGTCCCTCACATTCGTAATATGCACTCCACAACAATGATGTTTGGTACCAGATATCAGATACAGATCACCACTGTTAAATTTTATCGATATCGGTTCAGATTTGGGTATAGCTTCCATATATATCGTCATACGATGTAACAGTTATTGTGCACCAAGTATGTAATATCAACCCAAATTAGATAGATTTTTGCATATTCACACTCTAAATCCTGGAGGGTATAAAAAGCTCGGTCCGGCCAAAATTTACATTTTTTTAATGATGAAACATGCAAAAGAGGAAATAGAACATAGGAAATAGTAAATAGTCTGAGAGAACTGTTACTTTACTCTCTGAGAAATAAGTAGCTGGAAAACCAAAGTCATCAGAGAAAGAGCCTATTTATCTCGAATATTTAACAAGTAAAAAACATTAAGTCTTGTAATTGACAGATGTACATATATCGTCATATTCATGTACCTATTATTAGAATATCACTGTTGACCCTCAATTATCTTAACTTTTAACTCTCTTAATTTAATTTGAATTTTAAGCTCTCTTTCGCTCTCGTTCTCTTTTTCTCTCTCTCTTTCTTCAGACACCCAGCGGATTTTTTAGCACATACATCTTCCATCTGAGACCAATGACGATGTAGGTGCGACCCATCCAAAGCCTGTATACAATTCCTACTTACATTTACACAGCGATGGCCTAGGCCGTCAGACTAGTCCGAAATCTACCAACAATGTAAGCGAATGTTGGATGGGTCCGAAATCGACCGACAACGTAAGCGAATGTTGGATGGGTCCGAAATCTATCAACATTGTAAGTGAAGGTTGGATGGGTCCGATTCCATCAAGATTTTAGATTGTGGAACTTAAATTTCAGCTGTTTTTTATTAAAATATTCGTATTATAGAACAGTGTTTTCAACAATAAAATATTCTTATTATAATTGGAAATAATGCTTAAAAAAGAAATTCATAAAACTTATTCAAAAGACGTGGGAAGAAACAAAGCTTAAACTGAAGGAAAAAAATTAAATTTTTCCAGTTTTTTTATTGTAGGACATTGTTCGGAAGTGTCTGGCCTTAGGGAATTTGAAACAATTTCTATTTTTTTGGCGTAATCCTGTTCAGTAAATCCTCCACATATCACAGCTTCTGAAATAAGGATAGAAAATATAGAACAATTTTTTAATATTAAACAGTTATACTATAGAATAGACCAATGGACTACATTTAAAGGTAATATAATATCTTTTCAATAATGTAAGAAAAAAATTAACTCACCGAAAATGGCCATGTTTAAAAGTTTATATTCCTTAAACGCACTTTTGTTTGGGGACCATCATAGTTGTAATATAATATTATAGAAATGTCAATAATCTTGCAGAAGTTTGCATGGAATCTGCTCATTTAGTACAATATCATTGTTTTCCAAACAGTCCGTCCTCAACTGTGCATTTCTTTTTAAATTGTCTGCTTCCACTTTCTTTAATCTCTTAAATTTCTCCTACTGAATCATAACATTTTATTTAACTTATTTAACACACAACACTTACTATATTCTTATTTTATTAATTTATTTTATTAACTTTTTTTCAATATACACAACTTGCACTTTCAAAATCACTTCACAGAATAAAATTTTGCTTTAAAAAAGAAAGAAGCATCAAAAATGAATAACGGTACAACACCGGCTGCAACAACACACAAAAAAAAAAAATTTACAAAACAATACAAAGGCATCCGATTCAGATGCAAGTGCGATGGACACATTTTATTATATTCTGTTTTGTTCTTTAATTCTAATATGGATTTTGTTCCACAATGTAATAGCAATGCGACTCATCCAAATCGGATGCTAGTTGTATGCTATAAACCACTTTTATTTCATTTTTTCCTATTGACAAAGTAGCATACATTTGGATGGGTATTAAATTGTAATGGCGAGCGGACTGCTGGGCATTATCAACCTCTCATACTCCCAATTTCTTTCAGTCTCATCCACTTAGCTCCCACCAGAATATTATTGTTATTATTTATATTATTGCACGTTCTTTCACAAAAGAATTCAATTGTTGTACACATCTTGAAAAGATATGTTGATGTCGGCTATTTTATTTATAATTGAATTTAAAAAATTGAAAAAATAAATACATTAATTTAATTTAAAATCTTTTTTATTTTTTAATGTTTTATAAGAAATTTGAAAGATAACTATATGTTCTTTTGTGTATTTAAGAATTTTGTGTTAATTTTATATATTTATTAGTCTAACTATATATCTATTGCATTTTAAGATGTTTTTTTTTCTTAAGAGTATTAAACATTTATAGACATTGGATCATTGCTACGTTTTAAGTTTACGTGTACAAATTTATTTTTTTAATGCTATTAGAATTTAGGATTAATATTATGTTTATATAAGAGTTGTGCCGGGGTTATGAGGATTTATTTGGTGTATATGCAATGAAATTGATAATTTAAATCCGGTAAACGGTAGACGTGTCATTACAAATGAAATTTTCGATTCCAAACCAATTTCAAGGTTAGTAAAAAATTACCTTGTAAATGACATGTTTCCCATGTCGAAGAATCGAATTAAATCAATAAACATAAATTGTCGTTTGCCAACTGGCGGTCTATCTCGTTATCATTTGAATGACATTTAATTCACCACTTCAGTCAATGAAATCAATCGAAAATTCCCGCGCATTGTGTGAATTTTTGCATATTTTATTGTGTATTTTTGGGCATTTGTAACGCACATTTTTTGTTAAATCTTCTGACATCTGGTTTTGTTTGAGTCGATTTTTGATGTTCCGATTGAATTTTT